TCCTTTCAAGATTAAACCCTAATGCAAAATATTATGAATATGGAAATTAGTAATTTTAGGGATATATTAGTTATTATGTATTATTATTCCTAATCCTAATATTAGTAGCTTATTCAAACACTATAAATGATCACTGAGAATCCTTTTTCCACTACAATCAGTTTACTCTTCTCTTCAGATTGTTTCTCTCTTTTCGCTTCTTCTATTCCCTTTTCTTCTAAATCCCTGATTTTAATCATAGTAGGAAAATACTTTCAATCGATGAGAATGCAGACCCATTATCCGCCAATTACGGAGATGTGCCTCTGCACAAGCTACAATCGATGGAGGAACGGGATCTAAGTCGGTGGACCAAAGTGAAAGACCTAACCGGAGTGTTGAAAGGCAAAGAGGTGTTGATTAGAGGCCGGGTTGAGACAATCCGTGTAACGAAGGATGTGGTGCTTGTCGTGGTTAGACAGAGGGGTTTTACAGTCCAGTGTGTGATTACTGTTCAACCTGGATTTGTTAGCGACCAGATGGTTGTTTTTGTGGCTAGCCTTAGCCCGGAATCCATTATTGATGTTTAAGGTTTTGTTTCCGTTCTGTCGTCTGTCCCTATAAAGGGAACGACTCAGAAGGTTGAGGTTCAAGTGAGGAAATTGTATTGTATCAGTCGGGCAATGCTGACTCTTCCAATTAATATTGATGTTGCTAGCAGGAGTGAGAAAGAAATTGAGGAAGCTAGATGTTTGAATTATAGAGTTCTGGACGTAAGAGCACTTGCTAACCGGGGAATTTTCCATATTCAGAGAGAAGTTGTCTTTATATTCACGCAGTTCTTAAGATCAGAAAATTTTGATGAAATCCACCCCCAAATTTGGTATCAGGCGCTAGTGAAGATGGTCCTGCTGTATTAGAGCTGGACTACAAAGGGCAACCAGCATGCTTGGCTCAGGCACCTCAACTTCACAAGCAAATGGCAATCTGTGGTGATAAAGAACGTGTTTTTAGAGTCGGTCCTGTTTTCAGAGCAGAGGACTCTATAAGAACGTGTTTTTTAGGGTCCCGGTCCTGTTTTCAGAGCAGAGGACTCTTACACCGCATAGGCATCTAAGTTTGTGGGTCTTAATGTTTGAAAATGGAGAATTTTAAAAAACAACTATTTTGAAGGTAAATGGGTATTGTTGAATCGGTTATTTGTCATGATTTTTGACTATTTGAAATGAGAATTTGCAAAGGAGAACTTGAGGTTGTTCAGCGGCAGTATCCATTTGGAAACTCTGAAGTACGCTGACGAAATACACTACGATTGAGGTATGAAGAAGGGATCCAGATGCTTAAGGAAGCAGGAGCGAAGATTGATCCTTATTAAGAAAATTTGAATACTGTTTAGCTAGAGAGAAAACTTGGCCCAGCTAATTTTTGGAGAAGTATGGAACCGAATTCTACATGCTTCATCGCTGTCCTTTTAGCTGCCAGGTCATTCTAACCATGCCTTGCATGTGATGCAAAGTACAAAGTAACTTCAATTTGATGCCTTCATTCGAGGGGAGAAAATAATTCAGGAGCTTCAAGTTGTCGGACATTCGAGGGGAGAAAATAATTTCAGGAGCACAGTTGTCGGAAGAAAGTGCAAAGACCTGTGGAATTGATGTCAGTACAATATCCACATACATTGATTCTTTTAGGTAGGGAGTGCCTCCACATGGTGGGTTTAGTGCAGGGTTAGAGCGGGTGGTTATGCAATACTGTGGTTGGAATGATATTCGGAAAGCATCACTTTTCCCTCCTGACCCACATAGGCTTGCCCCATGATATGATAAATGGAATGGTTTCTGAGCAGATTTGAAAGACTTCTGATATTATAATTCAGTAAACTTCGTAGGAAGAGGAAGAGGTTCGTAGAGAGCACAACTGGGCTTTTGTTCAGTAGTGTATTTCCCTTATGCATCCCTCTCTATTTTATATCTGACAGAGATAGTTTTAGCTTTATTATGTTAATTCTAATTGGTCTATAATTTTAACTGCTGGCCAATGTTGATTGTTTGTGATTGATGAGATCTTGGTTTATGTTATTATTTGTTTTTAGACTTTTAGTAAAGGAGTCTGTGAACTCATTATTCATATACTCCAGTTTCAATTTAATTAATGTCAAGTGCCAAATTACTATTGAAATTTACTCAATCTGCGTTTAATTACAGTGCTTTACATTCCAATCTTTTTTTTTTTCCTTTTTTTTAATTTAATTTAAAACATTGCAATTGATAGAAGGTTAGGCAAAGAGCGGAGGAAAGCGATGCATGGATCCAAAGGGTTTCAAATTGGAGAACATTTTATCTACTTACATCCTTTTTACTTGTTTGATATAAGTAAAATTGAAATGCAAAAATCATTTATTAATTATTAGAATGATTCAGTTGAAATTTAATTAGAGTAGATAAAAATTTTTCTTCTTAATTAATATGATATTTCTTGTATGTTTTTATATTTATATGTATGTAAATATATATTGATTTTTTCAGGTATGGAGTGTCTTCACATGGTGAGTTTGAAGCGGGGGCTAGAGTGGATGGTTGCAATTCTCTGGTTCGAAACTCCATAGCAGGGTCTCATCCTTTTATCTTCAATAAGATCAAAATTCTTCTCTTCGAAGTTGAGGTCCAAATCCATTCATAAGCCCCTGAACTTTAAATTGTTAGTATTAAACATATATGTCAAACAAGCTAGTTGTTTTATTATCTTCTGGCTTGGATGTGGAGCATGTGCTGCGATTGTGGTGCCCAACTGCCAAAATCCAAATGTGAAAAGAAGAAACCAGAGCATGAGACTGCTTCGAAATTAAAATGGTGAAGGGAACGATTGGTCTTTTAGATTTTGTCAGGAGAAGCTCGCACAAGAACATATAAAGCAGGATGGTTGGAATCCGATATCACTAATGATCAGTCCAAAATTAATTGCTTGCATTGTGACATAAAAAGTTATAGTTGACCATGGAGGCCATGGCAGTAATAACTTTATGTAATTAGGGCAGTATTTAAGTAATATTCCTTTTAAACGATGGTAACTTTAGATTTTAAATTCCTAATTTTATAGAAAAAAAAAAGTTAACTTGAAAATGAAATCCATTTCGCACGGATAAATATAAAGTTGCTAAAAATAGTAATAAGAAAAAAAAAACGAAAAAGTCCATAGTCAGTAAATTCAACAAAAGACTGGTGTATAGTCTGCTTAAAATTTCATCATAGGATATCTCACACTTAAATTTCAGTTAGAACAGTTGATTAGTCAGAGTCATCCTACTCTAATAATACATCAGTTTTTCTCTCCACTCTAACTACCTCTAATCCAACTTTTATTTTTCTTTTGGTTATTCCTTGCAAAGCTAATGTTTTAAATCATCAAATTTCATATTCAACGCTCCTTTATCTCGTTGATTCAAAAAATAGTTATTTAGATTGAATTCTAGCTCCATTTATATGCCAAATCAATGAAAATAATTTTTTAAAATATTTAATCATATTTTATCATTTTTTTTCTCGCTTAAAAATATTATTTTTTTATTGAACTATTCCATGGACTTGGTCTAAAAGCAGACTTGGCCACGGTTCCGGTGCTTAAAATTTCATCATAGGATATCTCACACTTAAATTTCAGTTAGAACAGTTGATTAGTCAGAGTCATCCTACTCTAATAATGCATCAATTTTTCTCTCCACTCTAACTACCTCTAATCCAACTTTTATTTTTCTTTTGGTTATTTCTTGCAAAGCTAATGTTTTAAATCATCATGTTCCAGATTCAACGCTCCTTTCTTTCTTTCATTCAAAAAAATACTTATTTAAAGTGACTTATAGCTCATTCTGTAAACCAAATCAATGAAAATAATTTTTTAAAAATATTTATTCATACTTTATCATTTTTTTTCTCACGATTAAAAATATTTCGTTTCAATAAAAATTTTTTTTTTATTGGGCTGTTCCATGGACTTGGTCTAAAAGGTTTCCTATTGTCTAAAAGGTTTCCTATTCTTAAAGAGTCCCTCTATCGGTCGTCATTGACTTTCCTTTAAATGAGTTGTTGATATAATTTGTAATGCATTTAGAAAATTGGAATTGCATTAAAAAATGTGTTTGAATGATCGCAAAACTGCCTATTATAAACATGAACATTTTATGTTAGTATGAACAATTAAAATTAAAGAATTCTACTTATATATATTTTTTAAACTGCCGCCCCCTTTTCTCTATCCCTTTTGCCATTAAAATTTTCTTCCATTCTCTACATTGAAAGACAAAATCAAGTATGCAGATACATTGAGGAGCTAATTCTTGTCTCTTGTGACAGCCCCTCCTCATATTTTTAGTATATTTTTAATTTTATTATAAATTTTTATGTTTTTTATTAAATAAATTACAGGTCTTCATGAGAGAGGTCATGTGTAATATTTGTATTGATTTGAAGTTTTGTAACGAAATACTAATATAATCTTTAAAAAAAAAATTAAAGAATTCTCTATAGTATAATTTTACTGAAATTTTACAAATTTATAAAGCTAATTAGTACAAAGAAAAATATAGAATACAAATTAGTGAAGCAAAATTTTCCCCATATACAATCAACAAAATGTTTTGGAAGACCAGTCTATTATTATCCAGTGACTGTAAATAGAAGATTACTGTAAATAGAAGATTTTCCATCCATAATCCAGTGACTGTAAATAGAAGATTCCTGATTATATATATATAATTAAAAAGCCTGAATTAAAAATAAGAAGCATTTCTTTGCAAAATCATAACAATTTTGTAACTCAAATAAGTGTTTCCAATGAAATTAAACCTGCGATTCTAATTCTTCCAAAATACTGATTCATACACTTATAGAACGATGATTCGTTAGGAGAAATTATAAAAGAAAAGGCAACAGAGTAGTTGAGAATTGCCGTCATCATCACTCTATATCTGATCAATATAGGATCGATGACTTTGAATACTTCAGAGACTTCCTCCTATAAATACCTACGTATTCAGCCTATATTTCTCACACCTAGCACTTAAGAATAACAAGCTACAGAAACCTCTTACTTTCACAGAAAGCAATAAAAAATAAAAATGAAAGGCACCATTTTTCTTTTCTCTTTCACTGTCTTGGCATTGGCTTTCTCATTTGCCTCTGCCTACGACCCTAGCCCTCTCCAGGACTTCTGCGTAGCCGTTGAAGAACCCAAGAATGCTAGTAATATAAGCTTCCTTTCAGTTTTCCACTTTCTTTATGTTTATTATATATGTATATATAATTTAAGCATGGATTATATTAACATTTCTGTAATATTATTGCAGTCTTCGTGAATGGCAAGTTCTGCAAAAACCCAAAACTTGTAGAAGCAAATGATTTCTCCTTTTCGGGTCTAAACATTCCAAGAAATACAAAAAATGGAGTGGGATCAAATGTAACTCTCGTTAATGTAGACCTATTAAAAGGTCTCAACACACTTGGTATTTCTTTAGCTCGTCTTGATTTCGCACCATATGGCGGCTTAAACCCTCCCCATATCCATCCTCGTGCGACAGAGATTCTTGTCGTCCTCAAAGGCACTCTTTATGTTGGCTTTGTCACATCAAACCCAAGTCGTCTTTTCGCTAAAGTATTATACCCAGGAGATGTTTTTACCCCAGAGATGTTTTTGTTTTCAATCGGTTTGATTCATTTTCAGTTGAATGTGGCAAAGACTGAAAGCAGTTGCGGTTGCTGGGTTGAAGCAAGACCATCCTGGTGTTATTACTATAGCTAATGCAACTTTTGGGTCTGACCCTCCTATTAATCCTGATGTTCTTGCTAAGGCTTTCCAATTGGACGAGGACGTTGTTGCTTATCTTCAGAAGCTGTTTGGTGGTAGCAACTAATTGGCGACGTCTATACGTACATGCATGCATAAAACAGTCATTTAAAAGAATATATATACAGTGTTGTTTGACAATAATTTTATGCCGTTTATATTTTCTGTATTTCCAAAGTTGCATGTAATACTTTGATAATAATAAAAACGAAATTGCTTTCTTTTGCGATTTAATTTTTTTTTTATTTGTGTGGACAATATATATCTCATTTTGTATATATCTCATTTTGTGCTTAGTAGTTAATTAGTTTAATGGTATTGAGATCGTTTGTATAATTGGACGAATTAAGAAAAAGAATGGAACTCTATATATCTCATTTTGTGCTTAGTAGTTAATTAGTTTAATGGTATTGAGATCGTTTGATAGTTAACGGTTGTTGTGCGGTGCCCACTCAGTGGGACCCACATTTGAATTAAATAATAAAAAAAAAATTCTTTGGTAGGTGATCTATTTTTCAGTGATTTCTTAGGTAGGTGATCTGTATTTCGGTGGACGCGCGATTAACGCGTCTACCTCCGGAGATGCCACTGGAGCTTCAACACAACAAGCATAGCAAAAGAAAAAGAAAGATTTAGAGAGTTTCCGTTTTAGAAAGGGTTCTAAAACAAGGGTAGAGAAAATAGTGAAGATAATTTGGTTGGGGTGTTTTTGGAAAAAACACTTTTGACGCGCCACTATTTTGTAATTACTCTCTTTGTAGCTTAACTAATTTTTTTAATAGTGAAGAAAAATCCGATTTTTGTCCGTGAATATAAGCCCTAACAGTTAGGGTGAGCCAGTAAATATATGTGTGTCATATTTCTATTTTTCGCTTGTGTATTATTCTCAGTAATTTATTGCCGAGCTTAACAAGTGGTATCAGAGCCGAAGTTTCAATAGATCCAGCGCAGGCAAATGAGCGGTACTAGATCGTGGATATATTTTGAAAATAAATATACCACGCATCGACTAGAAAAATTACAACGTGTTCCCATTGGTACAACGTGTCCATTGGTATAGTCCGTTCGGAAAGAGGTTGCAGAATCGACTTAGTGATGAATAGTAAACTAGTAACTCAAAGTTGATTGTGAACAGTACTATTGGCGAGCCCATCACTATTCACGCATAGTACTATTTACGTGTATAGTTACTATTCACGCATACAGTTACTATTCACGTGTACAGGTACTATTCAGGCATGCTTTCACTATTCACGTATAATACTATTTACGTATACGGTTTCTGTTGGTGATAATACTCTGCATAAGTCAAAAATGGACGACAGAACAACAAGCACAATGGTTAGACTCGAACTCAACTCATCAAAAACTATGCAGTTGGAAGATATTAATGGAAGCATCTTCCTATGCTGCAAAAATCTTTTTTGAAATCGGATTGAGTTGGAAAGGGGTCAGTACCAACGTTCAATAAATGAGTAGCGATGGAGAGTCGATTAACAGAAAGTACGTCGCAACATCAGGCCAGTCTTGTTGAAAATGAGCGCTCATAAGATCATATCGCTCGTGGAGAAAGATGCCCTATTCAATCTGGAAGAGTTGGAGGACATTGTACACGGAAGAAGCCAGAACAAAGCCTTTTTAATTAGAAAAAGCTTGTAAATCTAAAGTACAGAGATGGCGAAAGTGCTTCAGATCACTTGGGCAAATTTCAAGAAATATTGAACCAACTGACGACGTCAAAAATATTGTTTGACGACTAGGTGCAGGCACTATTCTTATTGAGTTCCTTGCCGGACAGTTGGGAAACACTAACTGTTACGCTCAGTAATGTGTCGGAGGGGAATCTGACCTTAACCATAGTTAAGGAAAGCATTCTGAATGAAGAAACCAGACGGAAGGAGAATGCTACAAGTAGCAACTCAGATGCACTCATTACAGTTGCAGAAAGGAGGGGGAGAAGCAAATCCCTAAAAATCCAGACAAACGTTGACAGTTCACCGAGAAATCGAAGTCAAGAAAAGGTGGTCACTGTTTAGTCCATTGTGGCAAGCCCGTCACATCCAAAGGCATTGCAAGAAAATGGAAAGAAGGACGACGAGCCAAAGAAAATGATGAGGAAAAAGACGATACGGAGGTGGCTTCAGTAGCTATTGATGTTGACACACTTGGTGATGATAGTGCGCTGATTTCTCATGCTGGTCTCAGTGAGTGTTCCACTAATCAACAATCTCTTTGGATTATTGACTATGCATGTTCTTATCATATTTCTTCAAAGAAGGAATATTTTTCATCACTTACCCTCGGAGATTACGGCCATGTCAAGACTTTGAATGGCACATGTATGAAAAATTATGGCATTGGAACAGTATGCATCAAAACCAATGCTGGTTATGATCTCTATCAAAACCAATGCTGGTTATGATCTCTGGCTGGAAGATGTGAGATACACTCCTACGGCAAATTTCAATCTGATCTCAGTTCATTGTCTTGATGAATTGGGTTATGCAAATATGTTTGTCAACAGAACTTGGAAGCTTTCCAAAGGTAACCTGGTGTTCGAAAGAGGAAGAAAGTTCAACACCCTCTACTACACCCAAGCCAAAGTTTGCACAGGAGTGGTGAATGTAGTTGAAGATTCATCTGCTGAGTTGTGGCACAAACGACTTAGTCATTTGAGTGAGAAAGGAATGGAGACTCTCACCAAGAAGAAAATGTTATCTTCGAAAGGTTTGCCTTTAAAAATATGCACTGATTGTTTGTGTTTGTCTGGTAAACAACATAGAGTTTCCTTTCAAAGATCCCCTTCTCCTTCTAGAAAGCCTGGTATTCTAGAATTATCTTGTACCGCCGCTACAACTTTGCGGGACACGCCGCCCGACCTCCTCTTGTCGGGAAGACTTTCGACACAAGGCACCACTTGCAGATCTTCTTTCGGTCTTGGTCCTGTTGTTACAGGGTCACACCGAAATTTTCTCACACTACGCAGTCCGCTGCTCACGCCCGCTCCAAACATGGGCTCTGATACCAGTTGATGGGACTGCGCGTACCACCCAACCCCAAATTAGTATGATACTGTCCGGTTTGGGCCAAGCCCTCACGGATTTGTTTTTGGGCACCTCCCAAAACTCCACAACAGAATGCAGTTGCAGAGAAAATGAACAGGACCATTATTGAAAGGGTTAGATGTATGCTCTCTCATGCTAAACTTCTGAAAACCTTTTGGGCTGAAGCAATGAATGCTGCAGTTTACTTGATCAACCTTTCACCTTCAACCTCCCTCAACGGAGATGTACCAAAAAAGGTGTGGTCAGGGAAAAATATATCTTACGATCATCTTAGAATATTTGGCTGCAGGGCTTTTGGGCTTTTGTTCATGTTCCAAAAGATGAAAGATCCAAGCTTGATTCGAAGTCAAAACAGTGTATCTTCTTGGGATATGGAAATGATGATTTTGGGTACAGATTATGGGATCCAGTTAAAAAGAAGCTCATCAGAAGCACAAAACAGTCTTTTTTTTTTTTTTGAAAACGCATAAAACAATCATTTAAAACAATAAATATATATAGTGTTGTTTGACAATAATTTTACGCTGTTTATTTTTTTCTGTATTTCCAAAGTTGCATGTAATACTTTGATAATAATAAAAAGGAAATTGCTTTCTTTTGCGATTTATTATTTTTTTATTTGTGTGGACAATATATATCTCATTTTGTGCTTAGTAGTTAATTAGTTTAATGGTATTGAGATCGTTTGTATAGTTGGACGAATTAAGAAAAAGAATGGAACTCTTTTGTTCGGATTTTGCTACAATTTGTTGTTGATAGTTAACGGTTGTTGTGCGGTGCCCACTCAGTGGGACCCTGGCGGTGCCCATCAGTGGACCCACATTTGAACATAAATAAATAAATAAAATTCCTTTGGTCAAAGTGACTGTTTTTCGGTGGTTTTCTTCATGTTAAGTGATAATGTATTTCGGTGGACGCGGTGATTAACGCGTCCACCTCCCTATAAATAGTGAGATGGCACTGGACTCAACACAACAAGATAGCAAAAGAAAAAAGAATCAGATTTAGAGAGTTTACGTTTTAAAGAAAGGGGTTCTAAATGAAGGGTAGAGAAAATAGTGAAATAATTTGGGGTGTTTTGAAAACCCTTTGTGAGCGCCACTATTTTGTATTACTCTCTTTGTAAGCCTACTATTTTTAATGGTGGAAGAAATATTCGGTTTTTGTCCCGTAGACGTAGCCCTAAACAGTTAAAGGGTGAACCACGTAAATATTTGTGTGTCATATTTCTATTTTTTCACTGTATTATTATTCTCGTAATTTTATTGTCGGGACCTAACAACAGTGTCTACACATTTTTCATATTTCCATATTTTAGGAATTATTGAATGCAATTGCTATTGTTTTATAAGAAAAAGATTTACATATTCGCAGTATATGCATCTACCTATACATCAAATCAATTACAAACGATGTTTTAGTTTAAACAAGAGTATTTATGATTATACACGGAAAAAAAATATAAAAATCAGTAACATTTTTTTTTTAAAAAAAATTATTAATATAATGTATGAGATTAATATAATGTATGAGACCACCCATACATATTTTAAAATTTTTTATTTCTCTATTTTTATAACTATAAATATTTTGTTTTTATGTTTATTGTCCATTACTTCTAAACTATATATATATATATATATATATTATTAGGATCAGTTTCCAAATTGGAATCATTCATTATATACGTAATTGATTGATTAAATTATTACAAGAATTTCTAAACTGAGTCATGCTTTCTCTCCCTGCGGTTCAACTCTATTATTGAGGGGTTCAACATTTGAAATTGCAAAAAATCATTGAACTCGTCTTAGATTGGAGATCACTGCGGCATGGCTTACCAACCAAAACCACTTCTCTCTCTCTTTTCTAACAATGTTATTTGTATTATTCAACTAAGACAAAATAAATTAAGTTTATAAATTAAAAAATAGATATAATAGTAAGTATAAATATGGTAAAAGAGATGCGGAGAATAACCCTTGCTGTTGCTGCTTGGATTCAACATTAATTAAATTAATATGATATGTATATTATTGACTTGGTATTAAAGCCAGGCTACAGATAATATTATCATTTATGCATAAATATATATAGTTAATTAAGGAGTGGGAGAGCAATAAAAGCGTCATGCTGCTAGACGAAGCAGTGAAGTGCTGCACCCCAGATAATAAAAGACCAAAATACCACCTTCTTTAATTTTACAATTTGAGATTTAATTTTTTTTTTATTAATCTTTAGTTCAAAGTTCAAACTGTCAACAAATTTCATTTTTTATTATTAGTGTATATTCGGTCGTATAAGACCTTGTCAGTACTTAATAATTTGCGGAGTTGTTCAAAAGTTGGGAGCTTACCCAAGAAATTAAAGGGAAAAAAATAAAAAAAACATGTGGTAATTAGCAATCTAGGAGCTTAAAATTGGAATTAAAATTGGAAGTAATACTAAGCCACTTGCAAGTGAAGGTTTATAAGACTTACGGTCACCAAGACTTATCCAACACTATACAGTATATTATATGCTAACAAGTAGCTGCTTGATTAACAATTATAAACACAAAATTTTTTTGTCATTAGCAAAAGTTTTGAAGGATATATTTCAGTTGTCAAACATCTTTGATTAACCAAATTGAAAAAGTACAAATATTTTAATAATTTCAAGAATTTATTAACCTAAATTGGAAGGACAAATTTATTTTCTAATTCATTAATCATGAATCTTTACAACCAGATAAGTATTTACTTTCTTTCAAATGTTATCATAAAAAAAAATTAAAGATCTTCTTATTGTAAAAAAAAAAAAATTAAATCTTCTATTGTAAAATAATCAAAATTATTTTTTAATACAATCAATTGTTTATTTAAAAACTAAATATTGAGATTATATTCACAAAACAAACAATAGTCATGTCATGTTTGTATAAGCATTGAAAATTCCAAATTCATTTATCATTTCTAACCCAGTACTCATCCATGTGAAATGTCTATAGAAAATTCCATGTATCATTATTATCATTAAAGAAAATTTTGATCCTTCTTTACCATTGATTTATAAACACAAACCTAATTTAAGGTATCATTCATCCAAGTTGCAGTAGGTAAAGATACCTTTATTATACTAGGAGGAGATCTTCACTTATTGCAATTTGGTGAATGATACTTTAATTTAGGTTTGTGTTTATAAATTAATAATATTTTTTTTAAGAAGTAAATCAAGGATATCGTTATACTAAATGATGTATGTTTCGGTGAAAAAATATTTTGAGCAAATAAATATTTTTAGTCAAGCTATTAATTAATCAGATGGATTTTTAATAAAACACTATTTTTTTTGAGCATTTTTTGCTCTCTAATTGTCACATCTCATATTTACACTAAAACTATTTTAATGAAAAAGCCTTTACAATTTTTGTTTATAGAAAACACCACTCGATTTGGTGGTTTTAATGCAAAATAAAAATTATTTAATGCACTGATCATTTTTTCCTGCCTTCAATTAATTTTTATTTTTGTTAAAATTAATCAGAGGAGAACTGACATATTAAATTGCTCATGGCAAAATTTTCATGTCACTGAATATTGATTGCTTGTAGAATAGGATAACAAGCTGTATTTGATTCATTAAAAATGACCAGTTCCACGCACCTGCAGTCTGCAGATGCCAGTGACGTAAAAATAAAATAAACATAAATTTGTCAACCAAGTTTTATTTATATTATAGGGAGAAGAATGATTCATGCAGGAAGAAATTATAAAGGATAATATCAATAATGATTCTAACACTAACAATAATAATACTAATAAGAAAAAAAGAAGATAACACTTACCAAAGTTTAGCTATAAATACTGATCCATTAATGCAAGATTTCTCACACCTTGAATTCAAAACAAGAAAGCTAGACAAAATGAAAGATAATCATTCTTCCCTTGTTGTAACAAAATGAAAGATAATCATTCTTCCCTTGCTGTATTATCTTTCACATTACTCTTGGGTTTATTAGCTAATAATTCGCCGTTTGTCTCTGCTTATGACCCAATCCCTCTTCAAGATTTCTGTGTAGCCATTGATGAGCCGACAAATGCTGTGTTTGTCAATGGAAAATTCTGCAAAGACCCCAACCTTTTTGTAGCAGATGATTTCTCTTTTTTAGGACTGAAAACTCCAAGAAATACAGGAAATAAGGTCGGGTCAAATGTAACTATGTTGAATGTTGACAGAATACCCGGTTTGAATACTCTTGGAATTTCTCTGGCTCGAATTGACTATGCACCAAATGGTGGATTAAACCCTCCACATACTCATCCTCGAGCTACGGAGATTCTTGTAGTTGTTGAAGGCACTCTTTCCGTTGGCTTCGTTACATCAAACCCTAATCGACTCATCAGTAAAGTACTATACCCAGGAGATGTTTTTGTTTTTCCGATTGGTTTGATTCATTTTCAGATGAATATTGCAAAGACAAATGCAGTGGCTTTTGCTTCAGAATAGTTTCTTCAGATGAATATAATTATAAATTTTATAATTGATTTAAACATAATAGTTTCTTCAGAACGAGAAATCTTTTTGTGAAATAAATTACTTCCAAATAATATGTTTGCTAGAAACATAGATAAACCGAAAATTCAGTATAATACAAAATGGAAGGGAAATGATTTAATTATAGTTCCCTTGTCTCTGTCATTTCAGTTAAAAACCGGTCTTTAATGTACAATAATTCAGTATAATACAAAATGCAGATTTGCGCCTAATAATATTTTTCCTCACAAAAAAGAAAAAAATTATTTTTCCTCAACAAAAATTTTGTTTTTTCTCATTTTAGTTGTGGAAGTGTATGAGAGCTGAACAATACTGAGTACAGACTCACCTTAAGATTGAATCATAGCTTCAAGTAGATAACCAACCAAAACTAATCCTTGAAAAAACAGATTATTTAAAAAAAAAAAAAAAAAAGAAAAAAAAAAGAAAAGAAAAATAGTTTGAATAGCATAAATCTTGCAAAATAGCCAAAATAAGCTGTTAGGTGAGAAAATTACTTGACTTTTACTTGGTCTGTTAGACATGATAAAAGTCAAAATTGCTCTGAAAAATAGCTCTTTAGAGCTAGTTGAGACAATTTAAATTTTTAAAAATTTATTCACGAGCTTACATTTTTATTTTCATTTCATTTTTTAACGTAAATAAGGAATTTAATATTTTCAATTTCATAACCTTAATATAATAAAGCTATTAAATTCTAAATATAAATTAATAAAATAATACGTTTAAAATAAATTTTATAATTGACTTAAACATAATAGTTTCTTCAGAATAAGAAATTTTTTTGTGAAATAAATTAATTCCAAATAATATGTTTGCTAGAAACATACATAAACGGAGACTTTAGATTAATGAATTTCTATGAATAAAAAAAAATAAATCTGATTCAGAAATATCAAAATTAACTGAATTATAATTTCACATATGTTAAGAGATAATATAAACACAGCTGTCACAAATTTAAGGTAACAATACTTTTATAATATTAATTAGTACTAATTAACTCAGTGATCATGCGATAAAATGTCACGTCTTTAAATTAAGTTTGAGGTCTATTAAACAAATACTAAAGAAACAAAACAAATCAAGAAATTTTTAGGCAGTTCAGCAACATGTACTTCTATGGAGCTTCCTTTGTTTTTACAGACTCAGAAAAAGCTGGTAATAAGATCTTCATATTGTACATAAGCCACAATATCAACAAGAAAGAAAATTATGCACTAAAATGGAAATGAAATGATTTATTATAGTTCCCTTGTCATTTCAGTTAAACCAGTCTTTAATGTACAATAATTCAGTGTAATACAAAATGCAGATTTGCATCTAATAATATTTTTCCTCAACAAAAATTTTGTTGTTTCTCATTTTAGTTGTGGAAGTGTTGAGAGCTGAACAATACAGAGTACAGACTCACCTTAAGATTGGATCACAGCTTCAAGTAGATAACCAACCAAAACTAATCCTTGAAAAAACAGATTATTTCTCTTATTAAATACCTAATATAAAGACCAAATCATCATTAGAATAAACAAATAAAATATACAGACAGCCATCAACTCAGAAGCCATGAAGACTTCACTGTTTCCCTCTCTTGTTAAGGAACAAGACTCGATATTAGCTGGGTTCCTATATATAAATTAACAGCCCAACTAACTGATCAAAAATCTAATTAGAAAATACAGAGAATATCTAAAACTCGTAATAGTCCTATTTCCATGTGGTAAAAAGTAATGCAAGCATTGAATAGTGAAAAGATATTCATCTATAAATAATGTGTAAGATATTCATTCTATAAATAATGTGTAATCAGCAGTAAATTCTCACACTCTCGAGGCGCTCATTCTCAGGCGCTCATTTAAGAAGTAAAGCTAGATGGGGTCTCCGATAAAAATGAAAGGTGTTCATTTTCTTCTAGCCTTCACAGTCTTGGCTTTGGCGCTCTCATATGCCAGTGCCTATGACCCTAGCCCACTCCAAGATTTTTGTGTAGCAATAGATGAACCCAAGAATGCTAGTATAATCTTGTCTCAGTTTTTTTATTTTTGCTTTATTCCAAGTTACTGTTTGTCATTTTTTCATCTAAAAAACGAGTATTGTTGGAATACGTTGGTTTACATTATTTGAATAGTTAACAATAAATTTTTGCCATGCAGTGTTCGTGAATGGAAAATTTTGCAAGAATCCAAATCTCACTGCACCCAATGATTTCTCCTTCTCGGGACTCAACATTCCCGGAAATACAATGAATCAACAAATGAATCAAGTTGGATCAAATGTTAACGCTCTTAAATGTCGACCGGAATACCCAGGCGGTTTAACACTCTATGGTGTCTCCCTAGCTCGTCATCGACTATTGCACAAATGGTGGTTTACAACCTCACTCAAATTCACCCCGTGCCACAGAAACCTATTAGTCCTCGAAGGGCACCTTTTATGTTGGTTTCCGTGACACACAAACCCAAATCGTTTTATCAGTAAAATCTTACACGAGGAGATGTTTTTGTCTTTCCAATTGGGCCTAATCACTTTCAGTTCAACATTGCAAAGACCAATCGGAGTTGCCATTGCTGGTATTTAAACAGCCCAAATCCTGGTGTTTATCACCATAGCAAATGCAACCTCTTGGATTAATCCACCTATCAATCCTGATGTTCTCGCTAAAGGCATTCCAATTGACAAGAAGCTCGGTCAAAACAATCTTCAGAAAAAGTTTGCTAGTAGCAATTAAGTAAGGAGAACATGCACAAAATAACTGTGGAACCAGCTAACCTTCTATGGTGATGTTGTTCACTGTTACTTGACATAACCACAAGTAAGAATAAACTAAAAAGAGATTTCCAAATCATGTTCTGTTTGTCAATGTCAACTTTGGAAGCAGTTGAAACTATTTGAATTTTTGTCAAAGTGATTTCCTCCTTTATATCCAGCGAAATTGGCGAACTCCTTTTATATACCTACAGTTCTATAACTAGCCAGGAGATAATACATCGAAAGAAAGAATCATTCTTATTATCTTCTCGTTCAAAGCAGATACTCAAATGAAGACAATGAATACATATGCTTACAAAAAAATATAACTGACTGTTATATATATTTAACTCAAGAACTTCTTTTTTTATCATGTAGCCTAGTGGAACCTTTTTAAATGTTTAAGGAAAAAACAAAATGAACTAAAACTAAACAAAATATAATGGTCTCTGTTAATTTGATTGCAGAACAAAGTTTGTGGGCTAATTGGACCCAAATTGATAAAATTATATCATTATTTCTGTATCATCTCCATGCACAAATGATAGACTACTCTGTGACTTACCCATAAAAAGGATTGTGACAGATGCAAGATTGTACAAGATCAGGAAACCAACATCACTTAACAGGAATTTAAGATTGGAGCAGATTAACCATTATTTTTAGGTAGTTAGCTATGATCCTGTTGTTTGATTGTGATAGGCCAAGAAGATCTTCTAGGATGCCTATCAAGAATAAGAAGTATCTTGACTGAGTCCTCATTTTACTGATGCGGCAATCACTTAGTTGTTATTCTTTTATTTGTTTTTAATATTTTTTTATGCCTAATAAGAACCTAATAGAAGTCAATTCGCTGTTGTGAGATTTTCCAGCAATCCTTGTACTAAAAATAAGCCATATTGTGCCGTTGTTGGCCTTAGAAATAGGTCTGAGTTTGTTCATTACTTTTCTCTATTTATTCCTTTTTGTAATAGCAGCAGAAAGCATCAAAGGAAAACATACAAAAAACTTCTCATTCTGAGAATTAATCTCCTTGGCTTTGAAACGGGCCCATCAGTGGTCATCAGAGCCATCTACCTATCAGTGGTATCAGAGCCATCTATCCTAATTTCTTCTTTTCTTCATCTTTCATGGCGACAAACAAAGAGCCAATTGAAAATTTGGAAGTTGGCCTTGGCCAGCTCCAGGAAAATCTATCTAGAATGGAACGAGGACTTAGTGATGAACTGCAACAAATCAAAGCAGCCATCACTAAATTCTCTGAAATTACACTTCCTAGCAGAGATACGTCTAGCAGTACAAGTGACCACATTAGCCAAAATTGCACCAACCACGATGAATCCAGAGAGGGAGGAAAGCCATTGTATTCTGCGAAATTGGCGAAATTGGAGTTTTTGAAATATTCCGGAGACAACCCTACTGAATGGTTCACAAGAGTGGATCAATTTTTCGAATACCAAGGAACCCCAGAATTAGAAAAAGTGTCCTTGGCGTCTTATCACCTTCGTGGAGAAGCAAACGAATGGTGGCAGTGGCTTTGCAGAACTCACACCGAAGCAGGGAAAGCAGTAACGTGGGGAATTTTCTCTGAGGAATTGTGGTCCCGTTTTGGGCCCACTGATTGTGAGGATTTTGAAGAATCATTATCGAAAATCAGACAAACGGGACTCCTACGCGACTATCAACGAGAATTTGAGAGACTGGGAAATAGGGTCAAGGGATGGACCCAAAAGGCACTAGTGGGAACGTTCATGGGAGGTCTCAAGCCAGAAATTACTGAGGGCATCAGAATGTTCAAACCGCAGACTCTAAAAGATGCCATCAGTCTAGCTCGGATGAAAGATGAGCAATTGCTGCGTCAAAAGAAGGCAATTCGCCCATCTTATCAGATGAGCTCCTCATCTGCAACGAAGATAAAACAGAGTACACCTGTCAAACGACTTTCTTGGGAAGAGATGCAGAATCGATGGGCTAAGGGGTTGTGCTTTAATTGCGATGAAAGATTCGTTCCTGGGCACAGGTGTTCCAAACCGCAACTTCTTCTTCTTGATGGCGGAATTGGCATTGAGGAAGACGATGATGAAATTGAACCAGAGATTTCGTTACATGCACTTACTGGATGGTCCTCGGCAGGTACTATGCGGGTTGCTATTCAAATCAAATCCCTGGAATTAATTTGCCTCATTGATAGCGGATCCACGCACAATTTCATCAACGAAAAGATAGCCGAATTTTTAAAGCTATCAGTGGAGCCAACCATACCATTCAATGTGAAAGTAGCGAATGGGGATCCTCTACAGTGCAGCGGAAAATTTAGGAACATTCCTACTATTCTACAAGGTATACCCTTCTCAATTACTTTCTATTCCCCGCCAATTATGGGTCTGGATGTGGTATTAGGGGTTCAGTGGCTGCGCAAATTGGGAACAGTTCAATGCAACTGGGACAGATTGACGATGGATTTTATGTGGAAAGGGGAGCAACAGCATCTACAGGGAATTAAAGGGCAACAAATCAAAGCTTCTTCCTTGAAGGCAATGGCCAAAGAATTAAACCACAACACTTCACTCTTTGCCATTTGCGTAGAGGCTTCTTCAATAAATTTCCCTGAAGGACTACATCCAGAAATGCGAACTCTGTTAGATCAATTTCCAGATATCTATCAACGGCCTAGTCAGCTTCCTCTGGAGCTGAAAATCAATCACCGGATCAACCTCAAAGAAGGTGCCAATCCTATTAATGTCCGGCCTTACAGATATGCCCACTTTCAAAAGGCAGAAATTGAAAAACAGGTTCACGACATGTTGAATTCTGGACTAATTCAGCCAAGTACGAGCCCCTTCTCTTCACCTGTGTTACTAGTTAAAAAAAAAAGATGGTTCTTGGCGATTTTGTACAGATTACAGGGCCCTTAATACGGTGACAATACGAGACAAATTTCCAATTCCAACGGTAGACGATATGTTGGATGAACTATATGCGGCTTCTTACTTTACAAAACTTGATTTCATTGCTGGATTCCATCAGGTTCGGGTTCACCCTACTGACGTCCATAAGACCGCCTTCCGCACTCACAATGGCCATTATGAATATCTGGTAATGCCCTTTGGCTTGTGTAATGCTCCCTCCACCTTCCAAGCCCTCATGAACACAATTTTTCGTCCATATTTGAGAAAATTTGTGTTAGTTTTTTTTTATGATGTTTTAATTTATAGCCCAACTTGGAACATGCACCTGCATCATGTGCGATTGGCCTTTGAATTACTAAGGCAACATAAATTTTACATCAACAAATTGAATACTTGGGTCACATTGTCTTTTGCAATGGCATTCAGTGGATCAAGGGAAAATAAAGGTTATGCTTGATTGGCCTGAGCCTACTAATGTGTCTGAATTATGTGGTTTTTTAGGCTTGACAGGATATTATAGGAAATTCGTTCGTGATTATGGAGTCATAGCCTGGCCTTTAACTAATCTATTAAAGAAGGGTCAATTTTCCTGGAATGCCGAAGCAGACAACTCTTTTACTGCATTGAAAGAAGCCATGGCCTCAACACCCATACTTGCAATGCCTAATTTTGAAGAGCCTTTTGTCATCACCACAGATGCTTCCAATAATGGCATCGGGGCTGTGTTATCTCAGCAAGATCGGCCCATTGCATTCATGAGTCGCGCCTTGGGGGGCTTCCAAACAATCATGGACCACATATGCTAAAGAGATGTTAGCAATTTTGCAAGCTATTCGAACATGGCGACCATATCTGCTTGGCCGAAAGTTCTACATTCACACTGACCAGCGTAGCCTCAAGTATATGGTGGAACAGAGGATTGTCACACCTGAACAACAAAAGTGGGTCTCCAAGTTATTGGGATTTGACTATGAGATAATTTACAAACCGGGCAAGGAGAACAGAGTTGCAGACGCCTTATCCAGGGTTAGTGGCAGCCCAAGCCTCAACGCTCTTTTCATCCCTCACACTTCACTTTGGGATCAGATTCGAGCAACAATCTCCACTCATCCCTACATGATTAATATAAGCAGATTGGCTACGGAGAATCCAGGAACCCCTTATTCTTGGCGAAATGGGTTGATCCTTTACAAAAATCGGGTTGTGGTTCCCCCTCATTCTGACTTAACTTGTAAGAATTTGCAGGAATTCCATGATTCGCCTTGTGGTGGACATTCCGATGTCTTGCGCACCTATAAAAGGGTTGCTTTGCAGTTTTACTGGCCTTCAATGCGGAAGCAGATTCAAGAGTACATTGCTGCTTGTTCTGTTTGTCAGAAAAATAAAACTTCCACCTCTTCTCCGGCGGGGATCCTACAACCGCTGCCCATTCCACATCAGGTTTGGGATGATATTGCAATGGATTTTATTGATGGGCTACCAACTTCTAATGGGAAAAATTCAGGTAATTGACAGGCTCAACAAGTATGCTCACTTCTTGCCTTTGTCTCACCCTTATTCTGCTAAAATTATTGCTGACAAATTTGTGGATGTGATTGTTAAATATCATGGGATGCCCAAGTCTATAATCAGTGACAGTGATCCAATTTTTATGAGCAATTTTTGCCGTGAATTTTTCAAACTGTCTAGTACTAAGCTGAACATGAGTTCTTTGTATCATCCAGAGACTGATGGCCAATCAGAAGTGACTAATAGATGCTTAGAACAGTACCTTCGCTGTTTTGCATCTCAACAGCCTCGAAGATGGAGTTTTTTCTTGCTTTGGGCTGAGTACTGGTATAATACTTCTTTCCACAGTTCGATTGGCATGACTCCATTCATGGCTTTGTATGGCCGAGCTCCTCCGATGGTACCAAGATATGAAACAGGACAAGCCCTTGTTCATGAAGTTGATCAGACATTGGCCACCCGCGATGAAATCTTACAAGAACTTAAGTCTCACCTTTCACGTGCTGCTAATCAGATGAAACAGGCAGCAGATTTGAAACGTTGAGACGTTGAGTTTCAGGTTGGTGATCTTGTTTATCTCAAACTTCAGTCGTACCGACAACATTCAGTATACAGGAGAGCCTCTCAAAAATTAGCTAGTCGGTATTTTGGGCCTTTCTTGGTAGAAGAAAGAATTGGGAAATTGGCCTACAGATTGCGGCTGCCTACGGGGTCCAAGATTCATCCAGTTTTTCATGTCTCACTTCTCAAGAAACATATTGGAGATACTGTACCTGTGTCTACTGATTTACCTCAATTCTCTAGTGACGACGAGGCTGTTTTGGAACCTGAAAAAGTGCTGGAAACGAGACTAATTCGAATTGGTTCCAGGTCTGTACAAGAAAGTCTAGTTCAATGGAAGCATTTGCCCCAAGAAGATGCTACATGGGAAAATTCTGCCAACTTACGTTTGCGCTTTCCAACTCTGAACCTTGAGGACAAGGTTCCTTCTCAAGGGGGAAGCAATGATAGGCCACGAAGATCTTCTAGGATGCCTATCAAGAATAAGAAGTATCTTGACTGAGTCCTCATTTTACTGATGCTGCAATCACTTAGTTGTTATTCTTTTATTTTTTTTAATATTTTTTTATGCCTAATAAGAAGTCAAATTGCTGTTGAGATTTTCCAGCAATTCTTGACTAAAATAAAGCCCATATTGTGCCGTTGTGGCCTTAGAATAGGTCTGAGTTTGTGCCCATATTGTTGCCGTGTGGCCTTAGAGCCTTAGAATAGGTCTGAGTTTGTTTCATTACTTTCTCTATTTATTCCTTTGTAATAGCAGCAGAAAGCATCAAGGAAAAATACACCAAAAAACTTCTCATTCTGAGAATTAATCTCCTTGGCTTTGACCGGGACCTATCAGATTGCGTTTGTTTTTCTTTTTTTTTTTTTTTTAATATGATTATGGGTGTTTTAATGTTTTGCTTGTATAATTGCTCTAAGCATTTGAATTTGGTCAAATGAAGTGAGTTTTCTATCTTTTCTTTTAATTTCTTGTATTTGGGATATTGAAGATGGTATGAAATATTATTGCAGTTTGTCAGTTTATATGTAGACTTGTTTGAATTTCTAGTTTATATGTAGACTTGTTTGAATTTCTCAAAAATAAAAAATAAAAGATAAAAAATAAAATTTGCACATTCTACTGATAAAACACCAGGTAATGTGAATGTTTGATTTGAGTCATCTAAATCAGTGGAGTTAACAACACCTGGGCAATCTTTATAAAAGAAGTTGGAACCGAACTCATTGTAAAAACTATCTAAAGAAAAGCACAGTTCTGTGTTGGAATCCTGAATCGACTGAGTAAAGAGACTTTTAGGCGGCGTTTGGAGGTTCACAGTTTTTGGGTAGTGGAGGGAATCGATAAGAGACGTGGTGTCATCAAAGAGAGGAGATGGACAACGAAGAGAGTGGAGAAAGAGAAACTCTGGAGGCATGAGGTGGTGAGGATTATGGGGACAGACAACAAAATTGGCATTCTGGGATTTTAGAGAGGTAGTTTGAGGAGAGAGTAGAGAAGATAGAGAGCTAAGGATTTGTTGGGAGAGAGAGAGTAGGTCAGTGAGAGAAGAAAGTGTGGTAGAGAGATCGAGAGTCGGAGTGGCTGTGGCGGAAGGAAGTTGCTGTTGCTGAGCTTGAGATTGAGACCGCGGTGGTCGTTGTGGTGGTGGTGGCGTTGTGGTGGTGGTGGGGGTTGGTGACAGCGGAGAAGAAGAAATTAGGGATAGGATTAGGGTTAGGGTTTTGAGGGGGATAAGGGAAAAGGTATTGATTGGGATATGGAGTCGAAGAGGGATTCATGGAGAAAGGTAGACGAAGAAGAACTCTGAATCGGCAAAGGAAAGCCGATTCTAATTTTTTAGCGATAAAATTTAGCGACAAGCGATACGTCGTTTTTATGAAACACCAACACCTTTCTCCAAAACGACCGAACGACGGGTCCTTTGGTAAGCACAAGAGACGCACTATTATCTTTTCTTTTCCGTGTGAATAAGATTATATATTATAGATATAACTAGGCGAAATCCGCGTGTAGAGCGGGTTGCTTTATTATTATTTTTTTTAAAAAAATTATTTTATTGATGTATATAGATTTGTAATTTATAAATTGAATTTACTAATGAATTAATAAAAACAAAAAGATCTCTTAAACTCAAAAAATTTAAATTAACTGTGAACCAATAATGAAAAACTAATTTAAGAGTTTGTTTAATAGTTTTTTTTAAATATAAAATTTAGAATATATATATAATCATTGATCATATTTTGCATTCAATTATCATTTCATTCAACGATTTGAGAAATTCAGTCAATCCTCTAAGGTCCGATTTATAAACTAATAAAATTAAATCGTTTAACATCACTACAATCAAATAAAAAAATGTTTTATATTAGTATCAACTTTCTTTTCTGCTTGAAACTATACGGAAAAATAGAAAGAGTTCATATTAATATAAATTAATAAAGGTAAATTGATACTTAAACAACGATACATATTGAGATTTTAAAAAGAAAAGAACCATAGCTTCAAAGTCAAATGGAACAATTTTGAACATATAATTCCAATCATACACAATTTTTGATTGGATATAATTGTCGGTAGAAACAATAACGAAAGCAAAAAACTCTTCTTGGAAATGCATGATTCCAAGAGATATTGAACCCAACGACGAGTGTGAAGATTAATGCTTACCCGTGAGAAGATAACTAGATTGTAAATATAGCAAAAATGTGTGAAATATACTAATTGATGCCCTATTCAAAAGAAAGAAAAAAAATTCAATGTACAACAAACTAAGAAAAGAAAGAAACCAAAGCAGTAACCATATAGGTATATAATAAAAAACAAACTAATTATTATACTAATAAAAACAACACCTATTTATTTATTTTGTTATGCAAAAATAATAATAGAAGCTATATAATACTGATCTATATATAGACTACATAATATAGGTATAAAATTTAAAAATTATTCAAATCCAAGACTTATATCTTTAATAAAATTTTAAATTTGAAAGAAAATGAAAACCAGAAACAATAAAATAGGTATAGTTTTAAATTAGATTAGATTTTAAATCTATTTATTATGCTAAATATACTTTAAAATGAAACAAATAAATATAATCATCCAATCAAAACATAAAAACAATATAAAGAAAAAAATATCCAAAAATTTCAATTAACAATTTCAAAAAGGCTAAATTATTTTTAAAAAAAATTTTAAACTTTTGAAATGAAAATAATAATTACCAAATAAAGTAGTGTTATGATAAATTAGATTAAGATTTCAAAATATTTTTGCTATTTCTAGAATATTAATACTTAATTTGTGAAAATAAAAAACAATATAACCATTCCAAGGCAAAACATAGAAAAAATAGAGAAAAAAAATCCAAAATTTCTAAAGATAAAAAAAGAATGCTATAAAAAAATTAGAGCTTAATTTACACTCTCTTATTGCTTCAGAATATATATATAATATATACTTAATATATATAGTATATTATCTATCATATTACTAGTATCTATTTATATCTGGGAAACCACATATACATATAAATATGCGTCTCACATGCAAATTATCTCCAACACGTCCGCTCATTCCTCACCAAAATTGTGTACAACCAACCTAAATAGCGCCTGCCATTATAGTTATAATTCATGAGAAGTTGCTTAATTTCCATGTCGTTCTTTTTCCCTTATTTGGCCTCTTAAGCTTATAAAAAAGAATGCTAAAAAAATAGAGCTTTAATTTACATCTTTTTGCTTCAGAAATATATATATATCTCATGCAAGATTTCTCCACACTACCTCATACCTACCAAAATTGTACAACAACCTAAATAAGCGTGCATATAGTATAATCATGAGAGTTGCTGATTTCCATGGCGTTTTTTCCTTTTTGGCCTTAGTTTTCTCCTCTGCCATTGCATTTGACCCTGCTCCTCTCCAGGGCTTCTCTGTTGCAACAAATGACTTAAAGTTTGGCGGTAATTTATGCTAATTTTCGTTTTTTTCCTTTCAAGATTAAACCCTAATGCAAAATATTATGAATATGGAAATTAGTAATTTTAGGGATATATTAGTTATTATGTATTATTATTCCTAATCCTAATATTAGTAGCTTATTCAAACACTATAAATGATCACTGAGAATCCTTTTTCCACTACAATCAGTTTACTCTTCTCTTCAGATTGTTTCTCTCTTTTCGCTTCTTCTATTCCCTTTTCTTCTAAATCCCTGATTTTAATCATAGTAGGAAAATACTTTCAATCGATGAGAATGCAGACCCATTATCCGCCAATTACGGAGATGTGCCTCTGCACAAGCTACAATCGATGGAGGAACGGGATCTAAGTCGGTGGACCAAAGTGAAAGACCTAACCGGAGTGTTGAAAGGCAAAGAGGTGTTGATTAGAGGCCGGGTTGAGACAATCCGTGTAACGAAGGATGTGGTGCTTGTCGTGGTTAGACAGAGGGGTTTTACAGTCCAGTGTGTGATTACTGTTCAACCTGGATTTGTTAGCGACCAGATGGTTGTTTTTGTGGCTAGCCTTAGCCCGGAATCCATTATTGATGTTTAAGGTTTTGTTTCCGTTCTGTCGTCTGTCCCTATAAAGGGAACGACTCAGAAGGTTGAGGTTCAAGTGAGGAAATTGTATTGTATCAGTCGGGCAATGCTGACTCTTCCAATTAATATTGATGTTGCTAGCAGGAGTGAGAAAGAAATTGAGGAAGCTAGATGTTTGAATTATAGAGTTCTGGACGTAAGAGCACTTGCTAACCGGGGAATTTTCCATATTCAGAGAGAAGTTGTCTTTATATTCACGCAGTTCTTAAGATCAGAAAATTTTGATGAAATCCACCCCCAAATTTGGTATCAGGCGCTAGTGAAGATGGTCCTGCTGTATTAGAGCTGGACTACAAAGGGCAACCAGCATGCTTGGCTCAGGCACCTCAACTTCACAAGCAAATGGCAATCTGTGGTGATAAAGAACGTGTTTTTAGAGTCGGTCCTGTTTTCAGAGCAGAGGACTCTTTACACCCATTAGGCAGCGATCTAAGTTTGTTGGGTAGCCCTTATGTGAAGAATGCGAGATTTAAACAAACCTATTTTTGACTGGTAATGCGACTTATCGTCTGTATCGGTTATTTTGTCATGATTTTTGGACTATACTTGAACTGAGAATTGCCACAGGCAGATGAATGAAGTTGTTCACAAGGGCAGATACTTCCATTTGAAACACTCTGACAGTTCCTACGAAATTACACTCACGACTTGAGCGTATGAGGACGGGATCCAGATGCTGTGAAGGAAGCTAGGAAGCGGACTTGATCCTTATAAGAAACTTAAATACTGTAGTCAGAGAGAAACTCTTGGCCAGCTAATTTTGGAGAAAGAGCTTCGCACATCCAACCTTACCAATCGACGAACGATTCGACACCTCGACAGCGCACGCACAGACCGCGTAAGACTTGAAGTACTGGCGGCACGAGAATCAACGTATATGGAACCGCAATTCTATCATGCTTCATCGCTGTCCTTTAGCTTGCAGGTTCCATTCTACACATTGCCTTGCTATGATGATGCCAGATGATAACGGGGTAACTCATTCTGATGCCTTCATCTCGAGGCGTGAGAAAAGTTAACTTTCACGGGGCAACAGTTGTCGGAAGAAAGGTGCAAAAGACCCTGTGCGAATTGATGTCTAGTTACAATATCCACCCATTCGAGGGGAGAAAATAATTTCAGGAGCACAGTTGTCGGAAGAAAGTGCAAAGACCTGTGGAATTGATGTCAGTACAATATCCACATACATTGATTCTTTTAGGTAGGGAGTGCCTCCACATGGTGGGTTTAGTGCAGGGTTAGAGCGGGTGGTTATGCAATACTGTGGTTGGAATGATATTCGGAAAGCATCACTTTTCCCTCCTGACCCACATAGGCTTGCCCCATGATATGATAAATGGAATGGTTTCTGA